TGGGGGTGCCGGGTGGAGGGGCTGCCGGGGTCCCAGGTCCCGAAAGGGCTGGGAGCGTTTCAAGGCTCAGCTCGCCGCTGCTGCGCAGGAAGCCCCTTGGGCGCAGGCGCCGGACGGGGTTTATTAAGACAGAAGTTGTGCTTTGCCCGTTCAGGTTCACTGAGCTGGACTCTAACGCAGATCATAGTTAACTATGCGGGATTGTGTGAACGCAGTGGGTGTGGGTCACATTAAAGTGTTAGGAAAAAATCAGAACAGATTTAGTCCTTGGTCCAAAAGAGGTAGCATCTACTTAACTTTCAAACAGGGAGATGAGGAAAGCCTCATTCAGTCTCTCAGAATGAAAGTGGGGGGGACTGATGGGAAGTCGGACTGATGGAAGTCGGGGTGGGTGAAATGCTCTGAATGGAAGGGGCGTGGACGTCACTTCCCGCGACTGTGACGGTGGCTTTACCGCCAGCGGCAGAGAGGCCAACGTTGGTGAAAAGCCTCTCGGCTCCCCTGGATTAGAAACCCGCGAGTCACGTGGGCAGCCACGCGGACCTCGCGATGTCCGGGACGCAGCCAGCCGACGTCTCCCATCGCTGTCTCTCTACCCTCCCTTCCGCTCGCTCTATAAATCAGTGGAGAAAATATCCTCGGGTGAGGATTAACAAAAAACCCCAAAAAGCCAGAAATGGCTGAGGGGGCCCTTAAATCATGCAACGACACCTACAGCCCAGCCGCTTAAAAGAACAAGATCCATGTGCTGAGGTTAAATCACCGACTTATTTTAAATATGACAAATCGCACATTTGTGCAGCGCAGTAAGAAAGTGTAGTTTTGTGCGTGCAGGCACGTGTATAAATTCTTAACTCGGGCGGTCTGGTCGCCACACAGAAGCGCCTGGGACTTGGAGGAGGAGGCAGCGGTCGCGGGCACCCCTCCCCCCCAGGTTTGTACCGGGCGTGTGCGTGGGGATCGCAGTTGCCTGGGCACCACTTCTGTGCTCGAGGGTGAGTGAGTGAGAGCTGCCGGGGGTGCACCGTGTCCCTTTCCCGGTCGTGCCCCATTCGGCCACAGCCCAGGAGGCAGCCCCATTCGGCCACCAGGGAGACTAGACTGACCCAGGGGAGTGAGGGGACCTGCCTGGGGGGGGAGGGGGGACTAGCCCTGAGCAGGTGGCTTAGCTGAGCAGGTCGCACCCAAAGGGCAGGTCTTGGGATTAGCATCTTGCCTTTACTTGTAACTCGATTTTCTGTGATTTGACCTGAGGTGTTCAAAGGTGATATTTTCTTGGACATGAGCTACTTGTTCCCAGGAAAAAAGAAAATTCCAAAGTCCTACGGACGCCGGACCCCAGACCGTCGTTGAAATTGGGGGTTCGCTGGGGCTGCTTCTGTCCTGACCTGGGAGCCACACTGAAAAGGCGTGGGAATGTGCACAAGAGCCTGTTTGCCTCTCGCCCGCGATGCCCACGGTTACCACCTGGCCCTGAGGGGAAGGGCCACACTGCTCACCCCGTCAGCCCTAAGTTCATTCAAGTGTTGCCTCTTTGCAGCCCGTTTTCCTGTCTGAGTGTTCCACTGGGCCCCACTACCCAGGTCCCACCATCCGGGCCCCACCATCTGGGCCCCACCACCTGGGTCCCACCATCCGGGGCCCACCACCTGGGCCCCACCACCCAGGTCCCACCACCCAGGGCCCACCACCAGGGGCCCACCACCCGGGGCCCACCATCTGGGCCCCACCACCAGGGGCCCCCCCCCC